AAAAAACCCGACTTGGCTCGCCTCTGTTTTTTAACAGGAACAGAATAAGGAGCGTTCAGTTCTGACAGTGGCTGCCCCAGGAGTTAGTGGCAAGCTATTGGTGATGCTCGAGTTTCTAAACCAGGTAGCAGGTCCAGATGGGTTTGTTACATTAAATTGTCAACCTGAAAGCCAAGGCCAAAAGCCACCTTGCTAGGCCTAACTCTCCACAACTTAGGAAACAAGATATCCCCAAGAAGATAGAACCCAGTCGTCAGTGCTGGGAGCGTCTGCCGTGTATGCAGTACAGAGCTGGGACAGGAACCAGCAGCTGATGGGGAAGCTGGACCACACGACCAAAAGCCAAGCAGTCCCTGACTGTGACCAAGTGCACCGAGGTCCATGGAGGCAGCTGAGGCATCTCAGGTCACTCCCTCTACCCAGGACTACACTTCGCCCATGAGCTACTATTGAAAAGGCTCACTGAGAAGAGTTTAGCCTTCAATCCCTGGCAAGTGAAAAATAGACGTCAGAGCAGCATGCAAATAAAAAGACCCGCAATGCAGAGCTGCATTGGAAAGCAAATTTATTGGGCTCACATGGGCTCTGGCTTCCTGCTGGAGTCACAGAAGGACCCTAGGAGGCAGGACTTCCTGGCAGTGGGCAGGGTCAGGGGAATCCAATCACTTTTCCACTCTCACTGCAGAGAGCTAGAAAAGTATGTTTATCCCCTGTCCTGCACAGATCCTGGAGCCCACCAAGCCTTCGTTCTGAGAGGGGCACAGGTGTGGGTCTTCTGCACCTGGGAGATGGTGCTCAGCAGCAGGTGGGGCTGCCACAGGAGATGGGTCTGCAGACCAGGGTGGGGCAGGAGGGCCGGCAGCAGCTAGAGGACTGGCAGGAGGGGACCACGCACAGGACGGGCCTGCAGCTCACAGAGGGCTGGCAGCTCGCGGGCACACACACAGAGGACTGGCAGGAGGGGGCCGTGCACACCACAGGCCTGCAGCTCACAGGAATGCACACAGAGGTCTGGCATCTCATGGGCACACACACAGCAGGCTTGCAGCTCGTGGTCACAGGCACGCAGCAGGCTGCCTGGCAGGGGCTGGGCACGCAGCAGGCTGGCTGGCAGCCCGAGGAGCAGCTGGTGTGGCACATGGTGACGAGTGGCTGGGCTGGTGCTGTGATGTCTGGAGACTGCTGTCCTGGGGCAGCCTTTATACCTGGGCCCCAGAGTCCGGACACCACAGCAGCAGAGCTGTTGTCTTCCTTGTTTTTACTTCCTGCAGGCTGTCTCTAAAGCTCAGTTTTGAGCTGCACATGTTTGTTTGTTGTTTGGGCCTGAGCTTCATGTCTAATTGTACCCTCCCCAGGATCTGGTTATACTTGGAACTGCCTGCATTTACTAGTGACAGGCAGGTGGTTCATTTCCAGCTATCTCTCCACGATGGTTCCACACTAAGATTGAGATCAGTGGGACCCAGACAGCCTCCCCAAACCACACCCTCTGCGGCATGGACTGGGAGCCTTTAGGAAGAGACAAGAACTGACACTGAGAACGCTGGTGGTATAAAACTTGTATTCCTGTTAGAAGTTGGAGAAAATCTGTGAAACACCCATTTTCAGGCCATGGTCAATAAGCAGTGCAGGCTGTGACTCCTGGGAGGACAGGAACCTGCAAGATGAACTCTACTTTTTACCAGCCTGCTGCCTGGGTCAGCGTGCCAAATGCAGCGCCTGCAGCTGGAGTCCGAGAGGACATGGTGGCCCGGTGTTTGCTACAGCAGCAGAAGTGGGTGGTTAGCAGCTAAAGCACCCGGAACCTGAGGAGTAGAGGGCCCAAGGGGACAGATCTGGGCAGGCGTCACGCGTGTGAGCATCCCCCGAACAGGGCTGGGTTTAAGGAATGGGTCAGAGTCATACGTGCTCACGGCAAGAGCAGCGCAGACATACCAGAGAGAAGCTCCTCCAGGACGGGGAGTGGAACTCCTCAGCATGTCAGTAAAGCTCCACCATCCAGCCAAGGAGGAGGACTGCAGCCCAGAGTGAGACCCACTGCAGAGTCCCCTGACAAAGCCAAAGCCAACTCACAATAACATTTCTTTCTTTCTCTCTTTCTTTCTTTCTTTCTTTCTTTCTTTCTTTCTTTCTTTCTTTCTTTCTTTCTTTCTTTCTTCTTTCTTTCTTTCTTTTTTGTTAAGGATTTTGCCACTGGGCATGTGCACTCACCAGAGAGACAGAGGGAGACATTGAGAGGGAAAGTGAGAAATCACCCTCCAGCAGGGATGACTATGCCACAGTCCCTCTTCCTCCATTCTCCTCCTGGGGTTTTGGGTACACATGCCTGGGCATGATTTTTCAATCTCCCAGGTCTGGGACTTGAACCACTGCCATGTGGGAGTCCAGCATCTTAACCACCACACCACCTGCTGGCCCCACAATGACATTAATAAGGAGGACAGTTAGTAGGTTGAATCCCACCACATTACAGAAATACTTTAGATATTCTGCAGATTCAGCTTAACAAAGAATAAAACCAAGCCTGCCCAAGCCCAAGGTGATCAACAACTAGTAACTGTCTGCTGCAATGGGAAGCAGTAGTCAGACAAAGAATAGAAACCAGTCTCCAAACGCATCATTGTCAACTCCAACATACGCTCGAAATAATCAGACATGAAAATACTAAGGAAAATATAATTCATTGTTAAGAAAGATTGGAAGAAAAGCATAAAAGCATGAAAAGCACCTGTGGTTACCAGAGGCAGTGTGGGACGAGGGTGAGAAATGGGGGAGGGGGAGATCGAGGGAAAAAATAAAAAAAGTCAACAAACGAAAAATGAAAAATTATCTGTGGTTGACAATGCATGTGGTAATTTCTTTGACTGGACTAACATACAGTGTATTCAACAGTGATTGAGTGTAAAAATAAGAGAAAAATAAAGTAAAGCAATTGGTTAAAAAAAAAGAAAGAAAAAAAATAAACCAATCTAGAGGTGGCTCAGATATTGAGCTTGGCAAAAAATGACTCTAAGTAGCCTTTATAAATATGTTCAAGGGGCCAGCAGGTAGCGTGGTGGTTAAGGCACTGGACTCCCACATGATTGACCACAGTTCAAGTCCTAGACCCGGCAGCTTGAAAAGCACACCAGCACATGTGTGCGTGCCTAAAATCCTGAGTGGAGAATGGAGGAGAAGGGATTGAGGTGTGACCAACCCCTCTGGGAGGGGGGGGGTGATATCTCACTTGTCCTCTCTCTGTCTCTCTCTGACAAACACACCCACCCTATGGCAATAAATAAATATTAATTAATTAATATGTTCAAAGAATGAAAAGAAAAATGTGTTCAAAAAATTAAAGGAAAGGGGTCCAGCAGATGGCATAATGGTTGCGTTGCTTAACTCCCACATAGCAGACGCAGTTTGGGTCCTGGAACCAGCAGCTTGAAACTCACGCCAGGTGCTTTTGCGTGCGTGCTCAAGATCCCAAGAGGAGGATGAATGGGAGGGGATTGCAGTGTGGCCATTCCCCCGGGGGTGGGGGGGTGATTCTCACTTTCTGTCTCTCTGTCTCTGTCCGGCGAGTGTACGAGCCCTACAGCAAAAATCTCTCTCAAAAAAGAAAGAAAGAAAAGAAAGGAAAATATTTTCTTCACAAGTGAATAAAGAATCTCAGCAGAGAAATGGAAAGTGTTTTGGAATGAGAATGCAAGAACAGAAAAGTGCCAAGGCTGAAATTTTAAAACACACTGCATGGGTCTCCCAGCAGGCGGGAGGCAGAAGAGCCAGTTGGCTCGAAGACCTGTTAGGAAATTAGCCCTAAGAAGAAGAGGTGGTAAAAGAATTCAGGAAAATGAGAGGAGCCCGTGAGACAATGTCAGATCAGGAGACATACGGATATATGAAGCATCGGATTCAGAGGTAGGAGAGACGGATACTAAACAATAAAGATATTTTAAAGGAATAATGACCAGGGCCAACAGGTGGCATAGTGGTTAAGGTGCTGGACCTCCACATGGCTGACCGCAATTCAAATCTCTGATCTGGCAGCTTGAAATTCACACCTGGCATTTGTGCATGTGTGCTCAAACTCCCAAGAGGAGAATGAAGGAGAAGGGACTGTGGCATGGCCACCGTGCTGGGGGGTAATTTTTCACTTTCTCTGTCTCCAGTGAGTGCACACACCTTATAGCAAAAAAATCTCTCAAAAAAAAAGAAAGAAAAAGAAAGGAAAGAAAGAAAGACAGAAAGAAAGAAAGAAAGAAAGAAAGAAAGAAAGAAAGAAAGAAAGAAAGAAAGAAAGAAAGAAAGAAAGGAGAAAGAAAGAAAGGAGAAAGAAAAAATAAAGAAAAAGAAAGGACAAAATTTGCTGGATATGACTTAAAAAGGCAAACAAACAAACTTAGAGAAAGGGCTGACCCTGTGCACTCACCTACTCACCCACTGGCTGGCAGGGTCGCTCCCATCCTATGGCCACAGGCTGGCTCTGGGTCCCCGATGTTTCTAAGTTCATGATTCAGTCTCTGAGACGCACAGTGCTCTTCAGCCTCAGAGGGGCCTTCACTAATGTGGTGTCTGACTCATCCCAGGGCTTCCTGGGAAGTCCCCTCTGTCCACCATCAGGGGTCCCAGAAGGACCCACATGGATGCAGAGGGAACATCCTCATCCCCACTGGGCACAGCCTAGGGCAGGAGCAGTGCTGCCCAGAGAGAGGCCACCTCTGTTCCAAGCCACACCAGGGAGGAAGGCTCTGAGGCCGATGAGCACCAAGCACAGGAGCTGGGACCCAGAGGACCCTTCACCCACACTTGCCCACTGGTCCCCAGTCGGGGGTGTGCTGGGACTCATGCAGTCCCTTGCTGCTGCGTACCTCCCCTCGCCTCTGCAGCAGCCAGCTGGGCTGCTCAGAGCCTTGCCTGAGAAGAGTCAGTTGTGAGCACCTCAACCCCTGGCTCCAGGATTGGTGCCCCCAGCTGCACTTGCAGAGGGCATGTCCTGAAGTCATTTAGAGCTACCAGTATCCAGGTGACAACTCTGATGTGTGACATTCAAAAATCCACTGTGTTCATACCCTGAGCCAGATTCTCCTGAGGCCCCACATGGTGATACTTCGATCCATCAGCTTATTTTTCTTATCTGTCCAAGTTGATAGGGGCTGCTGAGCCCCAGAGCCAAAATACCCTGATATGGCCCAACAGTCGTGACCATGGATTCACGAGCAGAACCAAGACGCCCAAGTTCCTGCAGGCACAGGTGGTGTAAGCGAGCACCCACACCAGCCCCTAGCAGATCAGAGCTAGGGGTACCAACCATCCTAAGTACTGGCCAGAAAGCCCCCAGAAGATGCTCTTCACAGCACCTGGCAAATTTTCCTTTTTGCAATAATAGCAACCACTCCATGATCCGGAGCCCAGAGCCTGCTCGCCTCACTTGGGGAGACTGTGTCAATGGTTGAGTTTCCAAATCAACTGGGGGCACCTAGGGACCAGGTGTGACTGTGCTTGTGTGGACACCAGAAGCACACTCATAACGGGCCCAAGAATATCCATGAGGTGGGCACCTGCCTCCACTGTCAATCCTCCCTCATCCACCCAAGGCCCCGTTTCCAGAAATCTCACTCAAAATTCTGCCCTCTATCATTTTGTAACGCTTTTAGGCTTTCCAGCCACCAGAATTATGAGTCGAACAAACCTCTAGTTTTATAAATTCCTAGTCTCAGGTATTTGTTAGCAACACAAGAGTAGACTAAGATATGATGCTCAAAAAAGAATGCAAAAAACATTCTACTGAAATTGCAAAATGTCAAACATAACAACTGATTCTCAAAACCGTCCAGAGAATAGAGTAAATAAAAAAGTCCCTTACAAAGAAACAAAAACCAGACTGGCATCAGACTTCTCATTAACAACACTGACTGCTACAAACTCACACAACAATGCTCACATCATCCTGGTGATCAAAATTCAGCCTCTGCTTCCCAATACGCTCATGCTACAAACACACAGGTTAAGCAGGAAAACTCGTCCTCGGTCCTTAAGATAAGCAACAAACATGATAGCAAATTACTAGTAACAGAACGGTTAAGTAACCATGTGTGTTTTCCTAAAACAAAAACATAAGTAGCATGTATTTAATCTTCTATGTGGTCATCCACTTCTGA